ATATATATATAACAGAGGGAAATTCAGAAAAATTTGATAGAAAGAAAGGATCAGCGACTTAACAGTGGAAGCATAATTACCACTGTTATCATTTTAAGTTGCTTAAAGTAACCTAAATACGCCCGTGCACAAAATCCGGCGATTTACTAGAGAAGGAAATTAAACAGTAGTTTTGTAACATTTAATAACATTTTACTTATCGGCACCCCTGTAAACTACAATAACCATTACGATCAAAGGATAGGGCCTTGATCGTAGAGATACCCCGGCTGGGAATAATGCCTTAAGATCAGGGCACGTGTTAACAATTTGAAGAAACTTCGTTTCGAATAGATGACTAACGTTTGCTTGTCGATCTTCGAGAAATTGAAAATGCTATACAGGTAAACCAGTGCTCTTCTATATAGCGTAAGATGAGTGACCAAAGTAACCCAATTTTTTGCCAACGCCGTGAAGCGGAATCCAAGAAAATAGAATTCGTGAAGACTAGTCGCTTCTTCTGGTCTAAAAAAAGAATGGTTAATAAGGAGAATTGTTTTTCTAGTATTAAATGACAATTTAGTGAGTGTTGAGGTTGAGCGGTACGCACTGTAGCATTGGCCTAACGCGGCATAACGGCGTGGATTATCGTGAGACCATGCTGTAACTGCATTAAGGGGCTTTTAATTTGATAAATTAAAGCAACCCCTCTATTTCGATACGTTTATCACTTAGTTGGTCAGAGTTAAAAAAAAATTATCGGCACGGCGTTGAATTCATACCATTCATTTTAAAACTACACCGTTATTGACGAAGCACCAGGCCGCAGCGGTTTGCATCTGTCTCGTAGAATTAAAACATGGTCCACTAAAGTTTCTTAGTTGCAGCGTTGCCCCTACGCTGCCACAATAGACATATGTCTATACGAGAAGTGATCGTGACACTTTTTTTGGGGTTCGAGCCTTCCCGGAGCATATTTTAATTTGCCTAATATGCAGCCTCTTTTAATTATAGAGCATAAGTTTTATTAGCTCCTTCCATATAATATTACGTACTGAATACAATGATTTCGTAAAGCTTAGACGCCCTAAATTAAAGTTATAATATTAAAAAAATCAATTATTAAGCTATTTAGTATGAAACGCAACAAATAATAATCTCATATTTTAAGACGATGCTATTTTATGGCAGGGCGACATTTTTTTGTATTCGAAGTGCTGATTCGAAGACCTGAGATCGTTGATCATTCGGCTTTTAGCAGGCGAGTTGTACTGAGGCATGGAAAATCAACAATTTGAGTACGATTCAAGCGGTTTCATCGCAGAAACAGCTGGCTGTATAGATCTTCAGTTAGATCAATCAAGGTTCTACTCTTTGAAATACCGTAAGTCTTTGGTTCTAAAAATTCTAGGGAGGAAATACTCAATCCGACGACGAGTTCTGTAGAAGACCAACGGCGAAGAAGAATAATAGTAAGATGAAATGATAAGAGGGTCTCTAATGCAATCAATTGCAAATGCTAACATTAGTATATGTAAAAATAGCATACGTCTTCACCTTGGCCAAATTTAAAATTAGACGTAAGGATACCGCATAATTTCAGCGAGAACTGAAAACAGAAACGTAAAAACATTTGTTTCCGTTTGCTCTTATGTAGCAATAATGGCACGTTCGTGCACCGCATGTTTTTTGCTGTGATAAAAAAAACGGATACTTTGCGATGGTTGCAGAGGGTCGTGTCGAAGGCTAAATGTAACTAAATCGGCGGAAAGTCTGCTCAAAACAAACAGAGCTAATGGGGTCTTTTTGGTGGTTCAAAATACACCACAGCTTTATCACGATTGGTCAGTCGATTACCGCTGAAGTATAGTTTTAGAGGAGACAATGGGAAAACTCCGCCTTAAGCAGTCAGAGTAAACCACTCTTAATGCACGATCATGCATGGTCTCACATCGCAAGAACTACAATGGAAAAACTTAAGTTGAAGGTTGTTTTTCATCAAGGATACTCGCCAGACGTTGCTTCCACAGATTCCTATTTTCTTAGAAAACTTCTTTATGGGAGAACGATCTAAAAATCATTATGATTTTGAGGCTGCTCTTTGAGACCTCATAGACTTTCTGTGCCAGACTTCCACAGCAGCAAAATAAATAAGTTACCATTCAAATGGCAGAAGGTAACTAGTAATAATAATGGTACGTGTTGCGATTAAAGGTACAAAAATTAAACTTGTGAAAAAGTTGGAGATGTTAGAGTTCGCTATGTTAAGTTTCACAGAAAACTTTATCCCAGTTCTGACAATTCATCTGTTCAGGTAATCGCCGCTTTATATCTTGCCACTTAGAATTTCGTTTATAAATATATAGATGGGAATGGATGTCGGCGCGTGTCGTACGTTCTTTATCGAACGCCGAGCTCTATGAAAACTTTTCCTCATTCTCATTGTCAGTTCAGACCCACAAGTGGCATACTGCCCTGAAAATTAGTGAGAAAATGCGAACGGAGAGAGAGACAGGAAACGACCATAGTCTCGAATTGCGTTCTGTTTGCGATGCAACGCTCCGCATAGCCAAATCAAATAAGCCAGCGTTGTTTTAAACACACACACAGATACGGACGCATGACCTAGCCAAAACCGAAAGATATGACACGCCCTGGTTATTGCAGTAGGATCGTGTTGTACATATTAGGGAGCGACCAGCGGAAGATACACGTGCGGGATGCGTGAAGAATCGTGCGCAGTAGTAGCCTTTCTCGTAAACGTATGAGTGTATCATATACGTAGACGAGTGCACAAGGTGGAAAAGGAAGCAGCGAGTCGGTACAGAAAAAAAGATGAGCGCAAGTAACACGCGGAAGTATCTCGAAAAGAACTCTATCTAAGTATCGGAAGTATCTAGAACTCGAAAAGAGGCTAAATGGTATTTTATGCCATTTTTCCTATGCCACGGCATGGGAAACTTACTTTTTGATGGTATAGAAATGAATTCTACGGATGCGACAGTTTCAACATAAAACATAAATAATTAAGGCTACCTGTATGGTTTGTTGGAGAAACGACCATACAACAAAAACGAAAATTCTCTGCTAATAATGATAGCATTTATAATAATACTAATAATCGAAATAAACGTTAATATAATATCATTGATTGATATAACTCTTTGTTAGAATATCTGCTATGATAAAGTCAATGGTATTGTTTCTATTATAACATTAGATTTTAAATTGAGCGTTTTAGGCTTGAAGGACAAGCGCCTTGTACTTTATGAAACTGAATTGTCCTTTCAAGTAAAACAGACGTCACTCGTCGATGGGGTAGCAGAAGTGTTACCCTCTCTTGAAGGCTCGACTTTTCTGAACCTTGTGCACTTGCAAAGATATGCTAGTTTTTATTTTTCCTGTAATATATTACTTATTTTATTTAAATTACTACGCTTGCCAGTAATTGATCGTTGTCTTTTAGGTGGACTTTAACGCCCAATATTGCACCCTCGGCCTTCATATTGAAAGGCAACCGACTGTTCGACGTAACCTTGAGGGTTTCGTTCAGGCCGACAAGTACCTCAAGGTTGGTCCATTTCCGCTGCTCGACCTGCAGTTATATCGATGTAGTATCTCCTGACATTTCAGAATCAAAACAAACTATCTCCGTTGTTCCCTTCGTCTACTGGCATCTGCTAATAGACATCACGGCTAACGGCGCGGGAGAAGCATTTTGATATTCGACGAAAAAGACATCCACTGAAAACGGATAGTTGAGGGTATTTTATGTCCAACTTTGCAATTTGTTTATTGCGGTGAAGAGCTCTTGAAACATACTTTTTCTGCGGTTAGTCTGTTCACAGCATCTACGTAAGTTAAACAAAAAGTAATTGTTTCCGAAGTAAAAACGAATCTCTAAAATTATCATTAGTCTTTATATTGTAATAGCCGTATGGTCTGCTTAAATGGAAACCATTACACCCAGTAGGTTGAGTGAAATAGCATTTATAATATCGTCGACTTGAGCGTCAATTCACAAATCATATCCTTAGAGAATTCCTTGTTTGGGCCGTTTTCGGGAGAACAATAACGGGAGCTCCTAAGTTAAGTAAGGGTCGAATGAAACAAGATGGTTCTGGATTATATTGAATAGCGTTGGGATGCTCCATCTTCTCCTAATGGTGTCTACTGCTCATTGTTTTCAGCACTACCTAACGAATATAACGTGGGTACTTAATCTTGTGGATCGAATACCATTGATTCGTCGAATGGCTCTCTGCCTGCCCTCCACATGTTCGCCAGATATTGTTCCGCATTTCATCGAAAAACGTAAATTCATTGTATGCCAACTCTGAAAACCACTTAGGATATTAGCAAACAATATGGGAAATCGTGTAGGTCGACCCACTGCAAAAGTGCTTTCGTAAACGCTATTCCTTCTGTATGTATATACGGCAGAGGAATTTTTTCTGTAATATTCAATTTCTAGCTTATATATAGAGATATATATATATGTGTGTGTGTGTGTGTGTGTAGGAAAACAGCGACAAATCTTATGGTAACTTTTCACAAAGTTCTATAGTCCAGAATAGCCTATAAGCCTGAACGAGTTTTCAAGGATCGTCTATGCGTGTAATACAATATCCAACATTATAGAAAGAAGGCGTTTCTAACTAAACTTCGATTATTTAGTAACTTTTAGGAAGAAGCACATTATACGCGTATAGACCCGTGCGCACATTTAAAAATAGTTCATGTTTGCTGGCTATTATCTATATGACTACGTGTTGAATGATGATGTGATAGGCTAATGTACGACCTTAACAGAAGCCTACAGAAACCTGCTTTTCTTTCTATAATTGCTCAATGTTTTACCAAAAAATGCCTTTTGACCGTTTGCGTGTTTGATAGTTTTGGGCAAGTACGGTGTCAGCTCTAGCATCCTTGGCTGTCGTAATGTGCTTGATGAAAAACCGTATCCGACGGGAACATACGCCGCAATGTGAGTATCACAAAATAGAACCGGTTCACAAATAAAGCCTAAGATTACGTGGTCCTAGCCTTAGTGGAAGGTAGTCCCACAGTATCGGCAGTAGCGTAAACCCACCTTAACAGCCCTTAACCGCCCAAAAAGGTTTACAGAAATGGAAGACAAATTTATAATACCAGCATTACGAGATTAACTATCAAAATTGTTGTTTCTAAATAATTTAAATGTGGTTACCGAGTATTCTAAATATGTTCTAACTCAGCTTTCTCAGTTTCAATAAGTCACTACATATTTAAATAATTATTCACGTATTATTATTATTTCTGTTTTCCGGAATCTATCTAGCACTGTAACGTGTGTACTCGTTGCGATTGTATTTGCGGCTACCCTCGTTGATTATTTAGTTCCTCTTCAGAACAAAGGTAATATGCTCCGTATTATATCAGCGCTGTTCTAATTCCCATAAAATTATTTGTCTCTTAAGGTTACTTGTTCTTCCTAAATTTCCTGCTGACTTATTGATAACGCATGCCTGTTTCTAAGTAATGCGGTTGCCCGGAAGCTCGAATGGGTGCTAACATTTAGTGATACTTCGCCAGCGACTCAGCTGTCCAATTTAGTCGTGTCTACTGCCTTCGTTGTTGAAATTTGTACAGGTTTGCTTCCAGAAAAACCTCCCTAACGAATAGTACAGCTTGTCGGTGAAGTAACGGGCTTTTGGTTAGAACGGAGAAATAGTTAAAACTAGCCCGAGATATGTTTCGTGTTAACCTCGAGGGGGTTCGTTTACTAGCTCCTGAGTTCCTATTCAGACTCAAAATTCGTCGAAAACAACTTTACGACTCTTATGTTTACTGTCAAAGTTATTTTGAAAAAAAAAACCCCGAAGGTGAATAACTATTCGAAATAGGCGTTTGACTTGACCAGAGTGACTAATTCCAGATAAATTACGTTAAGGAACTCCGCAAACAGGGTCATTTACAAATGTCATAGCATGTCAGTATTTGGGCGATCCTGTTTGCTAGTTCTTCGGGGAAAGCTCTTTAAAATAAAGCGTAAAAGTACCCTACCGTTTTTTTCTTAAGCAAATGCAACGTATTTTAGGTCTGTAGGTACCTTGAGCCATAAGCGAACCACTTGGCTTTTGAAGCTTAAGCGAATGCATAAATGCGTCAAGGCAAAATGGAGATAAGGTCCATTTAACCAGCAGCCAAGGGTAACACGAGGGTTTATGAATTCATAGAATCACCGACGAATCGTTTGACTATAGACATGTGATATTTTTCATTCACACAAGTCTACAATTATATGCGAACGGCGATCGTATGTCTTCGGCGAGCTAGACAAGTTGAGCATCCTATAATAAATGCATCTTCTAGTTAGACATTAGTATTTAATATTTTTGCTTTATGGTCATGTTCTCCTTAGTGTCTGCAGAAGCGGTCAACCTCGTGCGATGTTTCTCCGCGCGCGCGGCAACCAGACGATTGACGACGGTTGACAGAGAGGCGGAACACAGCCATCTTGATAGCATACATGGCATTCGAGTTCTTAGCGCTTTGTGGATCTTGCTGTCGCACACTTACGCGACTGACCCTGGAAATCTGGACAGGCCTTACCATTTGTTCGCATTGTTGCAGGACCCTCGATTTACGGTCGTCACTCAAGGCATTTACTCTGTCGATACGTTCTATACGCTGACCGGGATACTCTTCTACAGGAACATGACTATTGAAAGAAAACGCTTCCAGGTATGCTATGGAAAAAATCTCAAATTGTACAATAATCATTGTCATGGCTGCGACAATATATAAAAACATTAATGAGTAGACGACTAAATCTGAGACATCCTAGCAATGTGTGATCTCAGATCTCTTTGTTTCGCCCTTCGCTTTTGCCGTAATTGTCAAACGCTATGATTACCTTAAGGCATCTGGTCGCTTAGGGTTAGCCAAAATATTTCATCGAACTGCGCCAGTGTGTCTAAATAATGCACGTGCAAGCTGCCCGGAGGGGCGTATAAGCTCATTGGATACTAACCGAAGCTTGCCAGATATGCAGGTACGCACCTTCACTCGCCCTATAAATACATATCCAGATAGGACCATACATTTTGGAATTCGAGAACAACGAAAATTCAATTCTACGCTTTGGTGTTTTCGGAAGCAGGCAAATTTTACTTTGAATATACGAGTTTCTGTGGTAGTCCTCCTAACAAAAATCCGACGCCTGAAATAACGGTTTAAAGGCGTTCTTTCGTCGTTCTTTCGTCGTTCTTATTTCATAACATATGCTCTTATCTATCTAGATACGCATCTACAAACAAAACGAACGACCGAAAACCTCGAGATGTGCTTTCGTAGGGTGTCGTAACTTTGCACAGTGCTCATTTTGATTCCTGCTATTCTTCAACCTAAGCCAGCCTAGCAGTTATTATATCTAGATAATTAGCTAAAAGTTAAGAACGATCACCAGCAAAGTCTCCATTTCGGTCTTGCCTCCAGAACATTAGCGTAATTCCTTTTTCAATCGTCGTTGTGTTCCGGAGAGCCATCCGTTTATTGACTCCAACGCTTGGCGCGCTGTGCTTGTTATACCTCCTGCCAGCCTTCGTAACCGGGCCCTCCATGGACTATATGTATAATTATTTTACAAATAATTGTGCCGAAAGATGGTGGTATATTCCACTGTTCATCAGCAACCTGCAGACGCTGGATGAAGCCTGCATTTTGCACAGTTGGTAAGTACGATAGCGATCATAGAAAAAAAACCCGTCTCGTTTTGCTCGTTCATAGATCCAAATTTCGAAGAAAACAATAAACGTACTGTTAAAATATTTTTAATAAAAAAAAAAAAATTATTTTTATGCCTAATTCTTCTCTTTTGTTTGTCCTGAAGTGGATACGCTACCATGGTTATCCTCTTCAATGAGTCTCATTGCGATGGCTAGCAGCATATTCCGTTCTCATGGCTGAGTCATCAGCTATATTTTTTCTTGTAAATACATTGCGTTAATTAGGCGATGCGATGAGGTATCAGAGTTCATCCATACGAGTACAGTTCGACGAGGGGACGCGTCGTATTTAGTATACGTGTGTCTTATTGAATTAGTATATTGCAATTTACAGGTACATGGCAGCCGATCTGCAGATGATCTGCATACTCACTCTACCCGTACTAGCCCTTATTGCTTGGCCACGTAAGGGAATATGGCTAATCGGAGCTATCGCTGTAACATCGATCATTTACGCCGGATCAATGTTGATCATCTACGAAACTACTCCTACTATATTATTTACACCGCTGACTCTGTCAAACGTGAGCAAGATTTTGGATCCGATCATACGATTGATTCTGTTTAGTTGTATGTTCTTTATATTGGCACACTAAGCTTCCTTTATTTCATTACTATATTGTGTAGAGTATGTCGTTAGTGAACCAGCTACCCGTGGGCTATTGAGTTGTCTTAGCAACCGCACTTAGATTAGTTAATAGCACCTATATTCTATATGTGCACGTACGAGTTTAAATTGTTCTCATCTTAATTAGATGTACATACCTAAAACCAGAACCCCAACGACTCCCTTCAGCATTTCTACATGTAAATTAGAGGGGACTTCATTACCGCTACCTTTTCTATTAACGGCGGGAAAAACTATCGGTTGTTTTGCTTAGGTCAACCTGAAGTGCCTAACTCTTTAGCAGTAGATATTCTTCGTTCGGCGTAACACGTAAAAGTACTTACGCGTATCTGGCCACTCAGATCAATTATATTATTTGCTTCTCATATAGAAGTGCTAGTAATAGCCATCTGTCATAAGTGCATCTGTCACGTTACATCGGGACATTGCTAATCCTGGCGATGTCTTTTTTCATGCTACGTTGCGACCTGCTGTTACAGGCGATTCTGTTCAGTATATATCAGCATGTGTCATCGCTGGCCCACCTATCAACGATGTGTATAGGCGTTCTTGGAGCCTACCTCATAGAGCACCATCGCGATATCAAGGCCCGACGGTCCCTCTTCGTCCTTGGCTGGATCTTCTGTATCATTATTACCTCAACGATCGTATTCTGTACGAACTTTGATAGAATAGTGCGGTAATTCGAGTACAGCAGATGTACTGCCCGTCTGAAAATACCATCTACGGGGGCTGTATTGGCAGACAGGCAGACCAACTACTAATGTGTAGCACATCATGAAATGAGCTTCGACTTACAGAATAGGCACATGGCAGTCCTTATGCTTTAGCACAGGGTGTGTGCGGGGTGGGACTAGCAGTTCTCGCGCTGATTTTCAGCTAGCGACAACAACACATGGCGTACCGTTAGGTCATAAGAACCCCCTTAGCTTTAGAACCACCCATAAGAATCAGGGAAATGCCAGCTTGCCCTATTCGATATCACTTGTTGGTTTTTTCTTTTGTATTTCTCAATACAAAATAAGAGCTGGTTACGTGATATGTGAAAAAAAAGAATATTTTTTAAGAAAAACCTATGTTCGGAATGACCTTTGACTCGGAAAGCAAGCGGTATTACAATCAGGATTTGTCGCGTCACACATTCCGGCATAAGCGTTTTGCGGCCTTATCACTGGCAGCAAACTTGAATTAAAAAAAGAGTAAACAAATAAATATTTTACAAGAAGGTATGTTTTCGTACGTTTATACATGTCTTGAACTTTGATCAGAGCTCTAACCTACTCCATCCGAATATGCTTGCATTTAATTAGTGTCCAAACATAAAGGCAGTATTTGACTTGCGTCGGGAGCATATTTGTATGCGATCAATATCACAGTTTCACATTTAAGTCAGCTGACTGCCGGAGGACACGTGGGGGTCGCGTTCCGAAGTTTCCTATGTCGTAGCCTACGCTCCGTAACAGCCGCCGTAAATACGTAGCTATTACCAGAACTACGAAATATATATATGTCTTGTTCTTTTGCTGAAGGTTTTTTCATTCGTTTCCTACCGGTTTTTCGTGAGGCGCCTCCGACAGGATGATGCAGTATTTGTTTTCCAATCGTCTAGCTTGCCTAAATAATAATCAACAGCCTTTCTCTCGTTGTTCAAGGTCGTACGTGCCTCATCTATCTGTACCCGTTCGTTGTCAACTTTTCAAAAGGCCGCCGGCCAGGGCAATGGGTACATCCAAAGTATTTCTAGTTCCGAAGATGGAGTAGGTGCAAGTATGTTATAGGCATCATGGTACGAATTGTTTACGTCGGTCGGTGATTTTTTTTTAAAATGAGCTTTTCCGGCATACGACTGAACACACAAGGAGTATAATGTTGCGCTGTGTAATACATAACAGGCCATTTGGCACACAGAAATTCAAGAGGCCGCTAGCTGACTTGCTAGAATATGTTCGTGTTTCTTTCGAGTTGGTGTTAAAACCTGCTACAGAAATACGTCGTAGTATGGCTACTCGAGGTCAACATTATTCAAAGAGGGCGAAAGGTACAAAACGCATGTATAGAAGTACCTTTGGCTTGTAGAGTGTATTCGATTGTGTACTAGATCTTGTAGAAATATAGCGATTATTAGGTGCGTATATGTCAACAGAGGCTGCATAATGGTTATATAAAAATATTCATCGGCATTTAAATCCTTATGAGTAAGGATACAATAGTAAATGAAGCGCATCATATGCGCTTCATTTACTATTCGCGAAGAAAGGGTAACTCTAACATTGGCTGCGGGACTCTTGACGTCCAGAATGAGGGTGTTGCTAAGACGAATCAATATAGTATTGCATTCTACATCCGTGCCATCACATCCAAAGTCTTCTCGATCGTTGTCTGGCTCCATGCACCGCTGATAATAGGTAGAACAGGATTTGAAGCTTTCTTGATGGCTAAGCGACACGTAATTGTTGCGTGACCCTTAGCTTCTTCATTCGGTCTGCCAAGACTGTGAACTAAAAGGCGCAATGTTTTCTTATAATAAAATTATGCGCATTGTCACAGTTGAGATGATTCAGTAGATTTGACCATGCCACCTACAGCACGAATTATATGACTTGAATTCACTTTTTCCATCTAAACCTATGCGACGATATCGTAAGGCCAACAAACAACGTTTTAATTCATTTTAACCAGGCAACACGCTGCGTTATCCGAGCTATTGTCCAGCAAACTACGACATTTCAATTGGATTCAGTGTCCACACGAAATAAACTTTGTGCCTATCTAGGACAGCTGTTATGCTGGCGCCACTGGCGTCACTGACGTTCTTGCTGCGGCTGTTGTACTTGATGTTATGAACAGGGCGGAGCACTGGATTAGGGCCACGTGTTTTTGCGTCATCATTTGAGCCCAATTTCGAAAATGGCGCCCTTACATGTCACGCTATCATCGCTAGATGACCCAGTTCACTTTGTGATGATGCACGTGATCGTATTTGAAAAGAACGTCTTCTACCCGCTAATGATTTGTGTCATGGTCCTTCAACAAGTCTTGGAGATAATTATAGATCCGCTACCTCTAATGCGTATGTACAATATGATCGTTTTACAATGCAAAACCAATTCTTTCTAGTACCCTACTTTTTAGTACTTTTTAAACCAATTAGTATTATCCTTTGCTTTTAATTATTTCAACAGTTCCGTTTAAATGGCATTTCAATGGCAATTACGGCTTCGGAGAAGGTCTTGCTTACGTGACGTTGTCTCGGCCAGTATGGGCGGCTTGCATTGTTTGGGTCTTATACGCTTGTGCCGCTGGGTATGGTGAGCCGGTACGCACATTATTTAATCGGCCCAACGTCGTTATACTCAGTCGATTATCGTTCTGCTTTTATCTTGTATCATCTACGCTTGTACTCGTGAAGATGTTCGCGGCGAGAACGGCCACAGCGTTTACTCACTTTCAAGAAGTAAGTGCATAGCAGTCAGTATGCGTATATATATACAGACCTCTAACTGGTTACGACTTCGGATCAATGTTATGGTGTACCAATTTAATTTTTCTGCTGACATTGTATACTCTAACCTCTTTGTACTTTGCAACGTCGACGACGACCGTTCCTTTAATCACATGGTAAGACAATTCCTCGGAGCACTTACAATAACTTCGGACGTAGTTAATTATTATTATTAGTTGATATATGCCAGCATCCATCTGCAGGAACAATCAGTGGTCGAAAGAATCTTTCTCCGGCTTCTTGTACGGGATTGCTCGTATATAGTTCAGCTAAGTTCAACTTTAAGTGCCCTAAGCCGTCGAAATGTTGCTGACGTGTGACGTTAGCAAAGGGAGATATGTTGTTCGAAATATGCCTTCGGTGACTCAGCTGGGAATTCTCAGTTATTTTCAACATACGGACTGTTTAATTATGGCTATTCGTTTTCGCCGGTTTTTCCCTTCATTTCAGATGCGAGATTTCTGCGCCGATATGGTATACGGTTACATTGTGGGCTATGTTCTATTCTTGTTATTCGAGGGGCCGACATACGCTCTCGATAAGTGGATCGTGAATCTGTGCTCCCGTAAACGGTCCGTGGAGCAAAACGGGCGTAGCATTCCGATCTGTGACTACAACGAGAGGACGAAATCGTGCAAGGGTGAAGTCTCTCGTACCGTTGAGAACAGTATTTTAAGCTATGTTAAAAGTCGCTTGTAACTAGTAGGCATCGAGTTATTTGTTCCCGCAGCGCCAACTCCTAGTTCTACAAAAATTCAGTATAGGAAATAATAGCCGTCTGTACAGCCCTGCTCGTTTGCTGCGTTTGTCATGGTACTTGGTATCATACATGACCACGTTAACTAATGGCCTTGACTGATCGGTCTAGAAAATTTGGGAACTATACGTAATATATGACAAAAAAAATAGTGCAACACATGGAAATCTAACCTGTGTTCGTACATATATATAACTTACCAGATAAGTTGACCTTTCAAAGAATAACCTCCAAAATATCGACGAGAGCACGCATAATCTCATGCCACATTGTATATTCGTGTTATTGTTATGTAAGTGTGAAGCTTTTAAATAGGTATAGCATTGCAGATATGAACGTCGGACTTCTGCGTTAACGTTTTACACGCATACGAGTGAGTAATGGCATCGACATATGATCCGAGTGACTGAAAGGCTAGCACCTACGAAGCCCTGCTCCCATCTAAGATTCGATAGGACTCCCGATAGGTAGCTAGAAGGATAAAAGAGACAAAAAAATGATTATGTCTGATGTGATATAAATAATTACATTAGACAGGTATCGTTTATAAAAACACATAAACCTTTTTTGTGTATGTAGAATATATATATATACATACAGCCTCCGCCTACAGGAAAAGGATAAGAGTAAATGCGTGCGCTTTGTGGATAAATTTATGAAACAATTGTGGCATTAAATAAAGAAGTATCAAACATGATCTTATGTTTTTATTATATATATATATATATATATATATATATATATATAACATGTTAGCGTTGGTCTTAGTCGTGAGTTCAGTTCGAGTGCATATTATTTATTATTTGTTTTCTCTGAGTACATGTAACCTCTTGTTAAAGATAAAATATCTAAGAAGTCTTTTTGAACGCGATAAGCTTCGGTGAGAATATCGATCTTTTCTCGAATGTTCATTGGAGACTTAGCATTTTTTTTTCCTATATTTTCCTTTGTGCAACACATATGTTACTATTGATATATATATATATATATATATATCTGCAAAGTAAATAAAAATTAAACGTTCCTTACAGTCATTTTTCAACGTCCTGTACTCAAGTGAAGGTAGAGTCGACCAAATCCAGTAAAGGCGTTATACAACAAATACGGCGCTGCGCTAGTATTAACTTGCATCGTCACTTATGGTCGAGCCTCGTCCGGATCGTTAGATCTACATGTTAGTGGGTTTTCTCATCTTTCGAATTTTTAGATACAAAATGTTACGAAAATTTAATGCCAGATTCGGAATGTATCTGCAAGGAACCTAAGCGTTTTTGCAACGAAGCCTTGTATACTTCCTGAAGGATAGGCGATCTGCAAGTACGATTGCTATCAATTCCTCTAGGAAGCTAAAGGACCTTAGATAATTGAAAGTAAGAAGCACAGCCAGAGAGCCGTACACGATATTCTAGGAAGTCTTAACTATTCCGTCTATATATTTCATTAGTATAAGTGTACACTAACGAAAAAGATACGTTCAGCTAAGGGATTATTGCTGACAGAGATTTGTGGTTTTTCAATTCATTTAATCTATTTGGCAAGCAAATATTTATCAGTTTAGCAACTTAATTATTTATTTCAATCTTTTTTTGCGCTATATTATTTCCAACGAATAACCTCATCTTAGATCTGCAGCCTTTAGCTGGCTACATCTAAAGACCAAAAAATATTTGTTAACACCATTTGTAAGTTCAACTCAAATTTATCTAAACGAAACAGATCCATGCTGGACAAAGTTTAAAAAACATATACCGAGGTTGCAATCGGAATTTTTATAGGCAATTCTTTCGAACTGTGAAAAATTTTTAACTGAATTTAACTAGAACATTTGCTATCGTTTTTTAGCGGTCACGTTCATTTTACAACCTGTCTCGTTTTGACCATTTGAATTGAAAAAATTGTTATTGCAATATTATTATTATTATTATCATATACACTAAATCGAACGGTAAGCATTCGAGTCATATTAAAGCAGATTCATCAAATGTATTTGAAATGCGACCTTACGGTCCAGTATCCGGTTAAACACGGCCTTGGTTATGCGCAACTCCGCACAGATACACTTTTTGGATGTATACGGCGGTAGGCCGCACACAAGCATCTGCGCATATTTACATACAGGCACATATGCATACGTAACCACATTTGCAGGACTTACCACGCGTTGTTCGTCATGACGCCATCGCTAGTAGACATGCTTGTGCCTCTCTTCCTTTCGTTAGACGCTTAGGACGTAACAGGGAGCGATGAATTGAGCTTCTGAGCAGATCCGGCTTCGCGTTCCACAGACGCGCGTTACGGCTTGTTCTTTCGCAGTTTTACTCTATCTATCTACTGAGGGTTGGCTGGCTAGCTCAGCGAGTCTTCGGGGGCTCAAAGGCCTTCAGCCATGTTCCGTTATCCATTACTATGATCCTATCAAAGGCATCTTGTCCCTCGGCGTACCCATTATTACCACGCCTTCTCTAACATGCGTCGAGTGGTCCTCTCCATCGCCATCGTCATAGTGCAAAATCTACTTTTGTACGAACGTCAAAACTTTTCGTAGAGGAGCAAACCTATGTTGAACGTATGTGACACCATGGTCTGTCTGCTCCAGCCTGACGGCTTTCACAGACGGTTCAATCGGCTAACCCCAAGGTGTGCCTGGCCATATCATCTCGCACCGCAGCAGGCTAATTACCGCAAACAAAACTCTTCGTACATCCGCACTGTCTGCAACGGCACTCACAGCTCTTGCAGTTCTCTCCGTTAGCCGCGTTACCAATGAGTTAGACCTTTGTTTTCGGATAGTGGAGCTATCATCGGCTTCTCGGGCCCTGTGCGCCCTCCTTTTTGAATGGCACCTAGTCAATTCGAATCCCTTACCATTTGCCTATTGCATGTACTCGTTTAAGCTATCCGACGTGTTTGGCTTTGTGTACATCTACTAAGAGTAGTAGCAGCAGTGACAGAAATAGTGGTAGGATGTGTTTACAGTCCTAGCCCTTCTCGTCATTGTCGGTGTTGTTATTCACCGTTGGTCAGAGGCTCCGTTAGCTGACTTGACAGTTAGCAGCTTCGTAGTTCTGCGTGCCGGCTCGATCTGTTGGTGCCGTACGCCTTCTTTACGGTTCGTTGGCTAGTTTGAAAGCTATGAGTGCTTCCGATGCGCAGTTCTATCCTCACATTAACCCCATGCTTTCTCGTCACATCGTGGCAAGGATTTGCTTTGTTACAGTTTGACCGACCCTTCCGTGCCTTCTTCTGGAGCTGCTCGTATCTGCCGCATTCATACCGCCTGCTGGTACTACCTTTAGCTGCTGACGGCTTAACAGGCTTGCTAGCTAGCTGACTCACCGGCTAAAAGTTGCAGGAGCACGGCCCGAGAACCCCCTACACTTCGCGTCTCGCCTAGCATCGGCAGAAGGATCCAGAGGACTCTGTCTTTTTTTTTTTTAGGATTTCCGAGCGCGCGAGGAGACGACAACGGCGACAGGTAGAGCGGCTGCTGCTGGCGCCACCACCGGTGGGCCGTCATCGTGGTTGTGTGGTGCTGGCAGCGCTGTTCGCAGAAGAAGCTTAGCCGTGGCCTTAACGTTGCTCCTGTTCGACTCCACAGCTGGACTTGGCGCTGCTTTGTATGCGCTGCGAGATGGCCTGTTCGGGCGGGGTCCCCCGACGCGACGGCAGCGCCCCCTGGCCGGCCAGAGCCAACTCTATCTGCATCCTCGGGCCTCGTGGCCCGAGCCCTATCAGTTGCTCTCGGCCAGTGTAAAGGAGGCACGTCGGAACAGCCGTCGTGCGAGCCACGTTCTACCATCACAATTAGTTCTTCTTCTGCTACAATTACTATTAGGTGTTTGGTGCTAAAATCTTCGATACTAGTCGGCTCTTGCCGTTGTAACGTGCATACGCCCCAACGTTGATAACAACTGGGAACGGCCTAGACGTTGTCGACGACCTCAACAAGAACAAAGCAAGTGGCACACAAGTAGACCCGTGGAGCTATTACTGTCTGCACTTCTTTCTATATGTAAGTATTATTATTCATCTATTTGGAGTGATCTAGATGGGTCGTCGATTCTTCGTTGTCAATAATAGCATGCAAAAGAACTGCAGAAGCGAAAAGCCTAAAGGCTGTGTGGAACGCGGATGAGCCGACGGCAATGGAATTTCTGTTGAAGACTGTGCAAAGGATCAAATGATTTATTTTAAGTTAACAAAAACAAAAGAAGAGTAAAAAAATACTAGGGATTGACGCACCGCGCAGTGTGTTCTTCCGCCTTTGATTTCTGAGACGCGTGTACGGTCGGCATCAGGCAAAACCTCCGATCGGTACCTACCGAGTATATAAGAAAAAATAAAAACAAACGGGTGCCTGTTAATTCGTTCTTTGTAATTCAGTGTTGAGCGTCAGCCCGAACCCACAAAGTGGTAGAGAAGTGCTTACTATATTTATAGATTCGCTATGTATTTGTAGACATCAACATATGCCAAACAAGATGGTAAACCGGTGACAACAATAGTGGTGGTTCAACAAAAATTACTCGAGTTCCACGACTCCTTTGCTCTAACATCTGCAACATAAAAGACACTAACAAAAGTGACACTGGCAATTGAACTTTGCCCCGTTATCCTTCGGATTTCGGTTGCTACCGAAAAACCCGCAAAGGAAGAGATTGCAGTAAAAACTTCAAAAAAATTTCAACATTTCAAGTAGCGCCAGTAGCCTCGTTACTGAAGACAGCTGATGTGCTTTTATTAAAATGGGCGTCTCTAGCGGGAATACAACGCATTAAGATCACAAGGTAAGCAAAAACGAAACCATAAATACAAGTCGGCAAATGATGCTGATGATGAATGAACAAATACCTCTCTTGGGGGTACTTTCTGTTGTAATATAATTTCGCATTGAGTACAACAACTGCGCAGCGTTGGGTTAGGGAGGACGGGAAGGGGGGTCGTAGAGTTTACATCTTCCACTGTCTGATAGTGAGAATGGATCATCTAAGATTGTCTCTGGCCGCCTCGATTCGCGGCAAGAAGGCAGCCAGAACAGGATGACTTCGAGTTCACCAAAGTTGAGATAGATCAGACTGCTACTATCGTCGCCGCTGTTACGACCACCTATGGTCAAATTGGGTTGTTTAATGAGCTTAATGTTGTACATTTGGCGTTCCGTCCGTACGTTTGCCTGCGTGCATAGCGCAGCAGCACTGTCCATCGTTGTTGACGATGCTGACGCTCATTTGAACGATGGCCAGCTTCCTGGTTACCCAGATAAAGTACGAATTTCTTGTTTGTAGTCCGTGGAATGGAGTCACTCGTTATTTCATTATGGCTAGTTGGATCGCGTCCATCTAGTTACGGGGATGGGGAGTGAGGTTTGACCGGAAATGGTCACTGTTGGTTTCGACAATGTCATGAGTGGATACGGACGCATGTCGTTGAGAGAGCTTCTTGCAATGAGAGAACTGGTGGATTATGTATGAGTGTGCTTTTGAGACAGTACAGGCCGGGATTTGGCCGGGCCATTGTCGATTTCTCTAACCTGCAGAGTGACATATACGAGGAGAAACGTCGTGGGATCAACTAACAGATAGGCAGCCTGCGAGCCAACTATTCGATTGAATGCCTAATGGTGGTACCAGACGTAAACGTTGAGACATTTAAGCGGGTTGTGCTAAAAAACAAACTAGTAGGTCCTGAACTTGGACGCGATAGGGCCTTTTTTTTTCTTCAGCTTCGAGTTCTGCGTCCGTCTCTGTCTTTTAAAGCTTCATGAAAAAACCACTTGTATTATTTTACAACTCGCGTATCTTGCACAGCAGACTATGCAATACACACAGAAACAGCGGCATGGGCTGTGCTCTGCGTTGGATACAAAGCGCGACGATAATTTTAAGCAACGACCAGTACTGCTGCTACTACGAAGAATAAGATGAAAAATCGCAGATATCAATATATTAAGTCATTCGAATTCCCGATCTCTTTTGCTGTTGTGTCTGCCGCCACTGTAACTATCTTGTCCAGACCCTCGTGTGCTAGTACTATCGCCTTCTGCACCTGACAGACGTCGAGGCTTTTGCTCCAAATACAAATTCTGATACCAGCGTGTTAGCGTCCTGTAGGAGCGGAAGCAGCAGTAGCACCCTCAGTTGCGGCCCCGTTTGCTACCTGCTTGTTGCGTACGTGCGTGCCAGCTAACATCTGCTAGTTTCAGCTGCAGCTAGTCGTTGTAGTCGCAATAATCATTGTATAGGAATGTGTCGTGGAAGGCGGGCGGTTTGAGATTACAATGACAGCGACGGTAGCAACAGGATTCAGGAAAGGGGTAACGGCCGCTACTATTGCTGCTTTCGCTTGGTACTATTGTTCGCAACTTGGTTTCCATTTGCCATCTTCTCTGCTTCACTGTCTAATCCCCCTTTCACTCATACTGCTTTCGTCGCTTCGTTCCATCCTCTTCCTCAGGGATTCCTCGTTCGGAAGCCGTTGTGGTAAGGCCTGCTAAATCATGACCGCGATCAGCTGCCATGCCAACCGCGACAGCCGATTCTTTGCCTGTTGACTAAGAAGACGATGACATCACGTTTTGTTAGAGCTGTCAGTAGGCAAGCGAGCGGCACACTGTAGCAGCTGCAGTAATCTTGCGAGCGAGCTTGGCTTAGCGAACATCCTATTCACTCCGGAGCCTCTACTCGAAGTGGGTCTGAGCATTTAAGCTGAGAAGTAAAAGGGAAACTGAAGCACAAACTGAGACAGAGAGAGAGAAATATGGGATAGAAACTTAGTGTTTATTGCTTCAGGATGATGAGTCTGGTTGGAAGTTAAGGGGGCGAGAATGTGGGGGCACCAGAATAGCTCTCATGGGGCACAGCCGCAACGGCAGCAACATGTAACTTGCATGTACGCACATACCGGGGCACGGATAGCGACACTAACGGTCGGCAATTAGCACCGGAGCGAAGATCTAACACAAACCGACTAGCGGGCCATGCCTAGCCTTTTAGTCGCCACGCTGTGTGCATTCCTTTACCCGCTGTTTCAATATCGTCTCACTCTCATATTGCATGGTTTGACTCGTAGTGATCGAATAGTAAATGCTACGCGGTGCCATCGAAATACTGGTTGACTTCCTAAAGTAACATGAGTTGTGGCTGAACCTAGCTTCATCAATTAACAAATTGTCGAAGCCGGGCTAACTGCTCTGGGCTGGGATAGTCCAAATTTCTGCATGCACGAAGGTGCGCGAACGTACCATTTGAATTTTCGAGAATGGAAAAAACCTTGACTTTCGGGCGTTCTGCAAGATTCGAGACCTGGTGCTTACTTATTGCCTGATTTCGGTGGTGTCTTTGAACGACGGTAAACGAAAGAACAAAAACACTGACTTTGGCTTCTTCTTGGCTTAGGTGACACAGAGGGATGGCAAAGGCAGGCAAAATAGCATCCAGTGAAATAAGCAATCTAAATCACACTATTTGCTCGTTACTTCACTCACTTTCAGTGAGGTCTGATCCGTAGGTCTAGGGTAACTGAAATAACTGGTCATGGCCAGGGAGTCACTCGTGTCCTAATGGTGATGTTTTCCCGCTGCGCCGCACTCATTTGCCTGGCATTCGCAGCGAACTTTCAAGCGACCCATCTTTGGGACAAAAGTCAAAAAAACAGGAGAGAAGAAAAGGAAAACGGTAAAAACGAACGAGCAAGTAAGAGGTATTAGCACTAGTAATTGTACTAGTGAAAAGAAGAAGCACATTCTATGAACAGACAGACGGCAAGCAAGGAGGGATTTACCCTTTTATTTCCAAGCCATCAAATTCGAGGCCATACGAGTGAACGAGCATCCAACCGACCACCTTCTGACAATGACACAGTAACCTTCTGTAGGTATAGTCTAGATCAGCCATCCTGCTACGGTTTCTTCGCCGTCCCAAATCAACCACAGCCACGAGGGGGGTAGGGAATAAAACCATCTTTAAACCCCAACAATTTCGCCCTTCAACATCAACCTTCGCCCCAACGCAACCAAACCGCTCTTTTCTCCCACCACAATGGGTAGCCATCGTGCGGACATCGTCTCCGCTTCGAAAAATGGCGCTGTCTTTCGTTTTCTTCTGTTTTTTTTTCATTCGAATCGCTTTCACGTAAAGGCGTAACGGCAGTTAGGAGAACGGCGTTACTTTGGACTTCCGCCAATAACTGTTTGATCTCCCTGTGTTTTTAACCCTTCTGACCCCTCGCTTTGAGCCCATGTTAAATACAACTACGTGCTGGATGTTTCTGTATAGATCCTGCCTCGAACATGAACACATTTAAATGAACCGAGAAAAACGTGCCAGAGAGATGGAGAAGAGGACGAGACGTCTGCCTAGATTGTGAAATTTTAGTGGCTTACACTTTAGACGCAAGCTAAGCACCACCAGAATTGTATTAGGACCTATTCGAGGGGAACCTCTCTTGTCCGGATGCATATAGTTTTGATTGGGTAAGGAAAAAAGATAAAAATCAGTTTAGCTGAAGCGATGTTCCGTGACTCCATTGACATTTCCTTAGTGTACGTTTAATGTTCGTGCTGAAACACTCTTAAATAGCTTTATACAAACACTTGGAAGGTGCTTCTCTCTAAATATAATGTGATTTAGATATCTTCTTCTATATTAGGGACGTCTTTGTCGTATTGAAGTACTTACATCCGGTATATAAGGCTAACAATACTGATTCAGTTACATAAGTCAGGAGCAGCTGCTAAAACTCTTTTTTATAAAATAATACTATACAAATATGGTTCTTCAGTCTTCACCTGAATACTATATAGAGGAACATTATTTATTTCAACTGGCTACGTCTACAAATACTACATAAAATAAGTATATGAATCCATTACTTAATATTTGGGAAAGCTTATTGGGAAATTGGACGTCCATTTTCGTTGTTAAACATAAGTCAAAACGACAAGGCATTAAAAATCTGCTGCGAAACCTCATGGATATAGGCTACTTCCTTACTGGGTCTTGTGCTCTCCCTTAACAAGAGGCAAAAGCCGTTTATCAATATCCAATCTGCCCTACTCCTTAGGAGATAAAGGGCTTCTAGTGCACTAACTTTGGCCTTACTAGCCCTGGGTAGATACTAGATTGAGGGATACGCTGTGATGCCTAACATGAGTAGCTTTGCCATGCTAGCCTGAAAGCAAGCACCCGGATCCGCTAACTAAACGATGTTCCAGGACCTCGGTCTAAGTAGCTATGGCGCTGTCTGTCAGAGCTTATGCCTGCGGTAGGCTACACTTCTTATTCCAGTATTTCGTTTTCTCATGCATGCTTTATTTATGCCATTGTATATTATACGTGCTAGTATGGTCCCCTACTGGCCAGCAATGATGTTACCTTCGCAAAGCATCGACCCAACGATGCCATACCAATAGCGTTAGGTGTTGAGCATTCGTACCGTGCACTTATAATCGACATTTTGAATCTGAATCGATTTCTGGCTATTCCATTAAATCCATAAGATGGACACGATCTTACTAATGTTCGTTCCGATCTACACAGATGCACCAGACGCAAAACTTGAAATGTTAATTTTAAGTTTCCGCGCAGTAAACTATACAGTGTCACTACTATAACGCAATCGTTGCTTCCTTCGATTCTCTGTGGTCCAGCTTTTACGTAGACTAATTGATATCGACACACTTTTTGCAAATTGTTTCTACAACAACTGGGTGTATATAGTTCTCTTAGCGTGCGCGCAGTGACTAACGGCTCTAAATTATGTGCTTTACCAAATCTGTTTTACGTAAACG